GGTGGAGCAATTAGAGGATGAGAAATTAAAGGTATGGTAAAGGTGGGAGGTCCCAACAATATTGACTGTTACTCAGCACCCAATATGGATTTTAGAAACCAACGTCCTGAGTCACTGTGTTATAGACGGGCCCCGCCAGAGAGTAATGGCCCTAGAAAAGGAGTTTCCCATGCCCACAGACGGGCCGTTGGTCTGCTCAGAGTGGGATGTGGGGAATACTAAAGTTGAAAAGCAAGTTGAATTAGAAAAGGGAGCAAAACCATGTTTTGTGCATCCCTATCCCTTGATGCCCAAGGCTGAAAAAGGGGTGAGTGAAATGGTGCAGGGACTATTGCAGGCCAGATTGGTGAAGCCCACCATTTCTCAGTGGAATTCCCCTTTATGACCCATGCGAAAGGCTAGTGGGAAGTGGAGAATGGTGATAGATTATCGGGCGGTGAATAAAAGAACAAGAAAATTAGGCCCAGTAGTTAGCACCCTTCCCGAGATGTGGGATGCAACCCAAAAGACAGGAGCTTCCCATTTTACCGTAATTGAAGAGCCCTTTTCTCTCCAGCACCACCTACGGTGACGAGGAACAATGGTAATAAGCAGATGGAGACTAGGTTTAGGTTAGAGATCAGAAGGCAATATTTTACAGTTAGGGTGGCCAGAATCTGGAACCAACTTCCGAGGGAAGTGGGCCTCGCCCCTACCTTGGGCAAATTTAAGAGGATGATCACCAGTCTGGGGTCTTGTGAACCCAGCATTCATTCTTGCCTGTGGCAGGGGGGACCCTAGCTACTATGAAACTATGGAACTTCCTGGACCAATAGAAGCTGCAAATGCTTTTGATACTGGGAGAATTGCAAAGCATCTTTCTAAATGGACAAATGTCCAGTCATTCTTGTTACGTTGCTACAGTATAAAATCTTTTAGTGAGTTGGAATAAAGGTGGGAAAAGGAGTGAAGGATTTTAGCAAATGAACATCTGTTTACTTACAAGGGCACTAGTGATAACAGTGTACCTGGCAGAACTTGCATTATATGAGAAGAACTAAATAGGTAGTTCTCAACTTGGGGCCCAATTAGCACACTGCTGTGGTCTATGTGACACCCTGTTAAAACAAGTTTTAAAAGGGTTCACAGGAAATTGTGTGGGTGCGGCCCACATAACATGTTGAAAGTGTGGCCCACTTTGGCAAATAGGTTGAGAACCTCTAAACTAGATGCATAAATTCCGTTAACGCTAACGGTAGCTATGTTGAAAAATTGCTTACAGATTAAATAAAGCATATACGTGCATAGGACCTGATTTTTTTTTTTTTTTTTCCCCTCCTTATTACTCTATATAATGCCTTTGTAAATCCCATGAAATAAAGTGTATGAAATGTTCAGTGGAGAAAGGAATGGAGAATCGGGTCTATAGAATTTTTTTGGAGAAAGTTATGGATAATTAAATTAAGTTAAAAGTAGTGAGACATTCTGGGCTCTGGCAGGAAGGAAGAGTTTGTATATGCCTGTATCTGATATGTTACAGCACAGCAGTTATGGTACAGGTACCACCAGTGGTACACAGACAGCCTGTCAGTGGTACACATTAGCAGAGTTATTATAATTACTTCATGACAAAAAATTGCTTGTGGTACTTAAGGTTGTATTGTTTTAAATTGGTGGTGCGCAACCTGTTAGAGTTTGGGAACTGCTGTTATCAAGCAAATATCTGACAGCTACTGTTAAACAGCCTTTGTTCATTTCCCTTTACTTAGTTTGGTGTTTTTTACTACCTAGAATAGCTACTCCATTGACAATGGATATGTATTCCTGGCCCAGGAAAGAAGCTGTTTTTTATAATGGAATAATCCTTGGTGGAGTTGGCATTGAATCAATCATTGTCTTCATGGTGGTTAAAATAATTTCTAAAAAGTAAGTCATTGGAGTTGCTTAGGGGTTTTTTTGGTTTTGCTAAACTTACTGTAAAGAGATGTCACAAAGGTCTAGAGAGGTTTCTATCAAGGCTATGCTACACTACACTAAGAGCACTTTTCCAGTTTAGGAAATCCTAGTAATCTTAGTTTGAATACAGGCAAACTGACATGGTTTGTTTTCACAAATGCATTAAATCAGCCACAGGTGCAGCTCAGCAGTTCTGCAACCTGAGAACCCAGTGCAGCAGTGGCTGCTATTTTTGCGCTTTCTGCTGCTTCTCCTCCGTCCCCAAGGTAGCACCTGGAGCTACTGCCCTGCTCACCTCTCCCTTCCCTCCCCTCACCCCTCCTTACCTGCCCCCCAGGGATGCTACTGAAAACAGTCAGGGGAGGAAAAAAGTAGAAAACATAGCTATATCAGCAAAATTATGTTAAAAATAGAGGCAACGGTAAACATGGGTATCCTGGTCGGGTATCACTCCTCTCTACACCTCTAACCCGTATAGTTCTGAGGTATGCCAACAGAAGTTTGTAAATGTACTCTTCATGGACTGAATTAATTTCTATTGTACTCTAGCAAATAATTACATTTAAGAGGTTGTCTTCAGCCATATGAATGAGCTGTGAGAAATTACAGTTTGTGCGTAGTAAGTGATATTAGAAGCTGCTTTAAAAAGCTAATTGGTCACAGTTAGTTACAATTTTTTTATTCAACAGGACTGGTGAGCGTGCGCTACTCCATGGAGGCCTAATAGTTGTCTTGGTTGGATTCTTTATTTTATTACCTTGGGGGAAAAAATTACCAAATATCCAATGGCAAGGTATAACCATAATTAATGTAAAACTGCAGTCTAAGCCTTTTGTTAAAAACTTTTTAAAATGGTGTGCTTTGTTTTATTTCAAAGATATAAAGAACAATTCCATTCCAAGAGCAACCTTCAGTGAAATTTTTACACCTTTATGGAATATGCAAACAACACAGCTATCATTCAATCACACAGAAGAGCCAACGGGATGTCCTGTTGTGCAGTCCTGGTGCCTGTACACACCTGTGATCCATCTCTCACAGTATATAGCTTCTGATATACTGATAGGATTGGGCTACCCAGCCTGTCACGTTATGTCCTATACTTTATACTCAAAAATTCTTGGACCAAAACCTCAGGTAAGCACAAGACCTAGGAACTTATTCAGATTTTGTTGTAGTAGATTATGTATGTTTTTACATAATCTGTTTTTAGATCAAAGCTGCTTTTTATTATAGGATGATTCTTCTCCTTGTTAGGCATTGAAAAACAAATCATAAAAACGTATCTGCTAGGAGTAATCTTTGCAGAAGACAGAAATCAAATTGATTTGTGTATTTCAAGATAAGAATAGACCATTATGATCAGTTACTCTACATTGTGCGACTTGAGCCAGAAATTCCTGCATTTGGATCTCCCCATTGTGGTTCAGATCACATATAGTATTTTTAAGAATGGCATAAAACCTTAGTTTAAAATTCTCAAGCAGTGGAGGATCCACTACACTTCTAAATAATGTGTTCCTATAGTTAATTATCCTCACTGTTGAAGAAAAAACGTGCACCATATCTTAGCCTGTTTTTGTTACGCCTTTTTACCTGTACCTAAATACC